TGGTAGCCAATCAGCTTCTAACTTCTGCTTGTTCTATTAATCTTTGACAATAAAACCTGGAAGCTGATTGGTTTCTCTGCAGAGCTGTACCAGATGTTGCAGTCTCCAGTATTAGTAAATCAACCCCATTGCATACTTTTCACTTTCTAGCCAGTGCAGAGTTCCTGTAATTGTTATTTTGTACATTTCTAAAATACACGTGTGTGTTTTTTTATTAATTGACTTTAACAATGTATCTGTATTTATCTCATTATGTTGTATTTATCTCACTATTTTAACAAATGTACGGTATTTACCTCACATTTGATATTTTACTTTGATGAATTGAATCTTTTGTTATCTCATTCGATATTTCCAGAAAAGGAATCACGTGACCTTCATATCGCATGTGATAACCTTTTGTGAATTGACCACATTATGACTTAATGACTTCCTACGTAATGCAGAACATAAGAACATCATCAATTTTCTATTGTATTGTGCAGTCTGTGCCATTACTGAGGGGCCTGTTAATTACTTGAACTTTGATTAAAGCCAAACAATATATCCCAGCCAAGCGTGCTTACAATAGTCGGCTTTTATTCATTTGGTTTAAACCTGTTTCCAAAAGAAAGAAAAAATTGTTGTTGGAACCACCTAAAAAGTATTAGCTTGAATTGGGCATTATTTGTCTGTTACAAGCTACATGTCCATCCAAGACTTAAGTTGGGTATACACTAGTAGAATTTCAAATACAAATTTGTACGAACATTTGTGTGAAAATTTTTGATGCATTTAAATGTTGTTTGAAAGTAATTAATTTAATTTACTTTTAACTTTAGATTTTGGAATTAATGGGCTTTACTGACCAAAAACCACATACTGCTAGAAATTTGTACATTCAAGGAAAATGTTCCAATGTGCTCCTTCAAATTTTCTCAACCGAACGCTGATTTGAAAATACGTTCTTACAATGAAAAATGTTGAAATAAATTCTACCTGTGTAACTTAAAGCGGAGCTCCACCCAAAAGGGGATGTTCCGCTTTAAGCCTTTGTCCCCTGCTCCCAATTAAGGATTGGCACCATTGGGGAGCAAGGGGAAGTGGGTACCCAAATTTGTCAGGTACCCACTCCCACTTTTGCTGCGATCACCGATCAGAAGCAGAAGTTATCCTTCCCCCCTCCCTCCCCGTTGTCTTCTGTCCCAGAAGATTACAGGGCCATTCACAAAGCGCAGCGCTTCTTGCGCATGCACAGTAGGCACTGTGAAGCTGCAAGCTGTAACAGCCGGGTGCCTACACTGACAATGCCGGCGCCAGGGAGAGAAGACGGCCGGTGAAACCAGCGGTGATGAAGACACTGCTGGACTGAGGGACAGGTAAGTGTCTGTATTTTAAATGTCAACAGCTACAGTCTTTGTAGCTGTTGACTTTTTTTTTTTTTTTTTTCAAGTGGAACTCCGCTTTAACAAAGGGGGCAATACTGCAGTGTGATTTCACTGCAGAATGAACATCGTTGTCACTCTTTTGAAAGAAGTGAAACATAATGGATCTACTGGCAGGGTCTTCTGGTAATAAAGCTATGTTACAAGGGGACTCAGAAAACCAAAAAATGCTGTATTAAAGTGCATGACCCTTTGTCAGTTTTATTTATAAATCATTTATTTATTTAAGACTTCAGGTAAGTACATAAAATTAGTTCAGTGGCATGAAATTTAAATCGGTATACCAAGTAATAGTCTGACCATAATGACATGTGGTTTCACATCTATATTCAAAAAAAGTACCTCCAGAAAGCCAGGTGCAGGGGCAGACTGACCATTTGGAAACTCGGGCACTGCCCGAGGGCCCGGGGTCAGTAGGGGGCCCCATGAGATGCCCCTGGTACTTTTTTCATAGGCTTTTTTGAGTTTGGGCTAGGACACAGGGGCCCCATGATCCCCTATTGCCCGGGGGCCCCATGAGTTGTCAGTCCGCCCCTGGCCAGGTGATTATGTTTCATCCTTATACCTTTTAGTCTTGCACATCAGAAATTTAGATAGATAGATAGATAGATAGATAGATAGATAGATAGATAGATAGATAGATAGATAGATAGATAATGCTAAGCTAGGTGTGCTTCCCCTCCATGAAGTGTCATCTGGCTATCAGAAGGGAGAGGGTAATGGGATAGCAAAAAAGGAGAGGGTGTGTAGGGCCAATGCAGTTGGGGACAGGGGTTGAAAGAAGGTGTAAAAGATGGCTAGTTAGCAGTTATAGAAAGAAGAAGAGACATGGGGCAAGGTTTCCCTTCAACACCTTTGTTTTTATTGCTGTCCATGTCCCAGCTGTGGAAATTCATCCCTCTATATGTCCTGGTGACCATACATTTTGATTTGTCATCAGAACATCCTCCAATTCAAACAAATGTTAGAATGCCAACTCTCCAAAATAGGAATTTTTTTCACTTTTGGGAGATTTCCTCCCATTTCCTGTGTAAATAAGTCAATAAATGAAGAGAAATGCCCCAACTGGACAAAGGAATCATAATAGAAACCAATAGAGGTTTAAACCTTTCTCTACTCTAGAACTTTAAAAAAAAGTTTTGACTGGCATACACTTTAATGCTAGTGACAGACTTCATCATATATATATGTCAGTTTTGATCCTCTTAAGGCAAATGGTAGTTTTTATATAAAGTAGGAGTTCATATGCTTTGCCAAATGCTTCTGATGGAAGTGGGGGCCCACACACTAGTCATATACAGGGACCAATTACTATCTTTGTTCAGAACTGAATACATAACTCTAATAAGGTCATGCAAGCTGTTTAAGAATGATACAATTCATCAAGGACCTAAAAGAAGATGAGGGCCCTTAAAAAGGGACCTCCGCAACTATAGCAACAGAAGGCAGTAAAGCGGAGCTTACAAACATGGTAACTACAATAGCTCTGCAAATGTGAATTACATTTTGAAATAAGTACTGAAAAAATCAGGAGGGCTTCTATTGCTGATCTGCTTCTGAAAATAATCCGGTCCAATATTCTCTGTGTCACTGATCCAAAATTTGAATACATGTATACTCGTTCTAGGTCATTGACTATTATTTAGTCATATTCACAAGGAAGTAACAAAAGCAGCCTACACATATCTAATAGTGCAGTATCCTGCACTATTAGATGTATTGCACATGTTACATAATTACATAGTTAGTCTGGCTGAAAAAAGATAAAAGTCCATCCAGTTCAACCATAAAAAAGAGAAAAAAAAAGTTATAATCCTATACCCACAGTTGATCCAGAGGAAGGCAAAAAAACCCAGCAAAGCATGATCCAATTTGCTCCTGCAGGGAAAAAAATTCCTTCCTGATCCCCCGAGAGGCAATCAGATATTCCCTGGATCAACATTACCTATAAATGTTAGTATCCAGTTATATTAGAAGCAATCCACTGAGCTGGCCAGAACCAACTCTTGAGGGAGTCTATTCCACATTTTCACAGCTCTCACTGTGAAGAAACCTTTCCGTGTTTGGAGATTACATTTCTTTTCCTCCAGATGTAAAGAGTGCCCCCTTGTCCTCTGTGATGACCTCAGGGTGAATAGCTCTACACCGAGTTCACTATATGAACCACTGATGTATTCATACATGTTGATCATATCCCCCTTAATCTCCTCTTCTCAAGAAAGAATAAATTCAGTTCTTCTAATCTTTCCTCATAGCTGAGCTCCTCCATGCTCTTATCAGTTTGGATTGCCCTTCTCTGTACTTTCTCCAGTTCCCCAATGTTCTTTTTTGTGAATTGGTGCCCAAAACTGAACTGCATATTTCAGATGAGGTATAACTAATGATTTGTACAGGGGTATTATGATATCTCTCTCTGTAATAATCCTAATGTTCCAAAATTGCAACAAAAATGTTTTGTGCTAACATAATCCATATATAACAAAATACATTATACTTCACTCCTAAATCATATATTATATATTAATAATAAAAACTATCCTTCCTTTCTATTTACTCACTTTCTTTCTTCTATCTATCTATTTCTCCCCTAACACTCTGTCTTTCTCTCCTCAGGCCTCATGCACAGTGCCAGAACTAGCCTGTTCTATGTGGAGGTGCAGTAAAAAATGTCAGCAGGGCAGAGGATGGGAGGTCAGCAGGGCAGAGGAAAGGGGTCACTGCTGGTTGGGCAGAAGACAGGGGCACAGCTCATTTTCCCATCCCTGAACTGCACACAGCCTGGGCATGGCTGTAAATGCGCCTAAGGCGCGTTTTGTGCTTGAGCGTTAATTCATGTCAATCCTGAATAAACACACACACGTCAGGCATTTTTTCTGCCAAAAAGCTGCTGCCAGGATGAGGCTTCTAGGAAAGTTAACAAAACGTCCTGTGCACAAGGGGCCTAATTTTCTGTTTTTCCATCCCATCTCTCTCCCTCTTTCCCTCCTCTTACACACTCTCTAAGTCCTCATGCACACTGAACATTTTTACAGCTGTAAAAATACTGTAATGCTGAAAAAACGCAGCAAAACTCAGTAAAACGCTGCAAACTGGCGTTTTTGGACTTTTTGAGCAAAAAATATTTGGGGGGTTAAAAAAAATGAAAACTGCGAAAAAAACATGGCAAAATGCTAATGCAAAGAGGCTGAACACCGCTGAAAAACTCACGTATTTAACGTGACTTTACACAGCTAACGTTACCAGCGTTATTAAAATGCCCCGTGTGCATGGAGCCTAACTGTATGATATATCAAAAGTAAAATAGAGCTATTCCTCACAGCAACCAATCAGAGCTTTTACTTTAAGGGAAACCCTCACATCAGCAGACACTCTTTGGTTCATGCTCTTGATGATTTTTAGTGATGTGGCTGCCCCAGATGGCAGGGAGGGAGTTTATTATTCAGGTGGCAGATTCCCTTCCATCTGCTGAGTAAAAATAAGGAACCTTCTTGATGATAACAATCAAAAGTTCAGTTTTCTCTGCTCCACTTTTTATATATCTTCTTTTTTTTTTTTTAGAAAATTATTGTCTTTTTTTTTCTGTTCCAGCTCCTGTATTTCCTGCTGAGCGCCCTCGGCATTATCATCTGTGTCCTAGCTTTGGCCTTCGCAGCTCACCATTATACCCACATCACAAAATATTCCTGCAAGATGGCAGATGACTCCTGCCAGTGCACATTGGACCCTTCCGACCCACTAAGCCGCACTTTTCTTTACCAGACTGTGGCCGACTGTGACATGGTCACCACCACTATCAAGCTCTTCGTCCTTCTGCAAATCACACTGAACTTACTGCTGTCCCCTGGTCTGCCTTGCTGCTTGCTTTGTCATGTGGAATGATCGTTACCAGGTGTTCTATGCGGGCACCTGGTTTCAAGGGTCAGCCACCAATGAGGCCCGACAACAAAAAGTATAGCATCTTGCACACAGGATCTAAGAATTCTATAAACCCACCTTCCTGCAAGAAATGAGATTATGGCAGATTTACACAAGAAATGAGATTAAAGCAGGCAAATAGACTGGAGTCCCATTAAAGAAGAGAGGACCCATCCAAACGTAATATTTGAAGAAGATTCCTCCATTTTCTGTGACCATCAAGTAACTGGCATTTGTAACCTCCCTTTAGCTTTTTGGCCGGAGTTTCAGCTCTGTCTCTGCAGGAAGGGCAGCATCTGTTTCTTGGTGACCACCTATGCCTTATTTTGCCATGGACAACCACTAAAACTGCAAAAATAAATCCTACGCTCATTTCTGATAGAAACCTCTTGAATGTAACATAGATCAGGGGCTTTGGTGTTTACACATCTCCAAACCAAGCTCTCATTTTCTGGGGAAGATGCACCTTTTGGACTTCCTGAAAGGACAGGGTGTTGAAAAATGGGAGAGATTTCAGATGAATAAGGCTGTGGATAAAAAGATTTGTGAGGGGGTCTGAATGTAAGGTTGCCTTCAAGTTGCTAATTTACCGGCCTGGTTAATAAAAATGGAACTTGCATTCCATTTTATTAAAAAGAGGCCATAAAATAGTTTTTTTTTTTCAGTGTGGTAACCTTGTGTGGTGAAATTTAAAACTGAGAAGAAATATGTTTATTTGAAGCAAAACAATGTGTTTTTTATTTACTTTATACTCATGGGAACCTTAGTGTGAATATTGAAGCCATATCTATGCTCTGAATTGTACGCATGGGATATCAACAGGGTTAGGTCAGCCTGCTGGGTGCCTTAACCAAAAGGTTTGTTGGGCGAAAAATTGCTGAAAGTTACCGTAATAAACATGTGATTTTTCAAATAAGTGATACCTGTTTTTTTTTTTTTTATTGACACCCATCTACAGCCATTTTTTTTTAGTTTTTAGTTTTGGATGGCATTTTGCCATTGAGACAAGATTCTCCAAAGTGAGAACAGACAGCAATAAAATGCTGACAGAGATTCTAGCATTTCTCCACTCTACCATTTTTTATTGGTGTTGTGCCCACTCTGGACAATAGCAAGCAGGACAAATAGAAAAGATGAATAAACCTGAAAAGAGTTTGAACCATTCCAAACTCCTTACAAAACTAAAAAGCTTTATGCTAGAGGTATACTTTAAAAACAGACAAAAAGGGTTTTTGGAAAAAATGTAAATAACTCGACCAAAATTCACCATGGTGTAATACTACAGATATGAGATTATAGAAATCCTCATGTTTATTCATCCACAATTGCAAAGGTATAAGGGTTAATCCTCACGTGATTGGTGAATATCTTCAGGCATCCAATCAAGATCCCAATCACGTGAAATTCGACCTGAGAGTATGTCATTCACGGGTGAAGGGTCCAGAGATAAACGAAGGCCGCAATTAACGCCAATCAATTGTGACTCACTCCTGGCAGGCCTCTGATAGGAGACAACAGTTATGTTGTATGTTGATGGCAATCTTATATAACATTAGCTAGCGGTACTTAGTCACATTCAGCTGACCTGTTCTATAATGTAGAAGATGTTTTATAGCTTATCCAATCTACTTCTTCAGCTGTAATATGTGTCAAGAACGTACTCCAGCATTTATGTCCACCCAGGTAACACAGATACCTTAATACAATCACTATGGAATGTGTCAAGGCAGATGTTGATTGTCCAAGAACAGGATTGTAGAGGTAAAAGATGTGGAAGCACCCTATTCTAGTAACAAATTCCCATCGTTGGTGCCAGGAGGTCTGCATAGGTGTAAATCTCAGAGACCTGAAGACAAGAACTGTGGTGATGGGGAGACTGTATAGCCTTTGTACAATCAGCCTGGAATGTAGCTTCTTACACACAGAAATCCTGTTTTAGTACTGGAACTCAGAGTCCGCCTATCTACTGTGTGCTTAGTCCCTAGCAGTTTATAATCTGACATGCAACTGAACCTCTAACAACAGAAGTGACTGTCAAATACCTAAGCCGGCTCTAGCCTATGCTGGGTATTGAGCCCTGAGGTAAAACTATCTATAGAATCCCAGACCAGAAGGGACAGGGTTAATTAACATAACAGGAGCTGCATAAAAACTCTATTGCAATAAACAGGTTCACCTACTAATATACTGGAAGCTGACCGCTATAAACATACAGAAGCACAGACCTAGTTATCTGACATTGTGCATGTGAGATAATAACAATAGGACAGAGATACTCTGTCTTTCACAAAGATTCTCATACACAGTGAAGAAGCTATGGGCAGCTGCAGTTAAACTATTAGAACATGCATAATAGTCTCTGCTTCCGGTCTGGGTGAAATACAACATGAGCAATGGCTCCTGTATGTTTAAGGTCATGTGGCTCAGTTTTTCTCTCTGTCTCCACATTCCCTTCTTCTGGGGTTTTTAACACAGCCCCACAGAGTCAAGAAGTGATGTTTACAAAGAATTCACAGTACAGCCACCTACAAATACAGACAGTTGAGGACAGCAGATCCCTACACAAGTCATTGGAGCAGGTCTGTGGATGATGTGCTAGTCAAGATTAGAGCATGGGAAATACACACTTTTAGAGAACACATAAACACAGTATACAAAAACAACAAGGGCAACTTACCTTTTTTGAACTGTGTGTTGCATGTCAATAAAAGGGTGACTTTGACATTGAAGTCTACAGGAAACATACCTGCACAGACCAGTATCTTTGTTTTGACTCCCACCACCCACTGGAACACAAACTGCTGGTTATTAGGACAGATAGACATAGAACTGAGATGGTAATAACAAACGCAGAGTCTAATAACAAAGAATGCAGGTGTACTTTAAAAGCTTTTTACTATCCAGACTGGACTTTCGTTAAAATATCCACAAGGTCAAGCAAAAATTTTGATTTGATTGACTTTTACAACAATTCACATCTTCAGCCATATGAGTTGAAGAATTACTACCTATGTTAACTTCCTGACACCAATGATGGGATTATGTAACTAGAACAGGTGGTTCCACAACTTTCACAACTCCCATCCAGTTCTTACACAATCAAGATCTGCCTTGACACATTCCATGGTGATTGACTTAAAGCAGAGCTCCAGTCTCCTGTAAAAAATAAAAAGTCAGCAACTACAAAAACTGTAGCTGCTAACTTTAAAAAAGCAGCCACTCACCTGTCGTCACCCCAACCGGGTTCACCGGCTGTCCTCTGTTCCCGACACTGGCATCTTAAGTGTGGGCACCCTGCTGTGACAGCTTGCGGCTTCACAGCCTGCTACCCACACTGCATGCGAGAATGGTGCTGCACATTGTAAATGGTTCCTCAGTCTTTTGGGACCTGTCACATGTTCCAGAAACCTGCAGGGGGTCAGAGCTGAAGTGGGAGCGGGTACCTGTCAAAATCAGGCACCTGCTCCCCAAAGGTGCTAATCCTTAACAGGGAGCAGGAAATGAGTAATTAAAGCTCTGCTTTAAGGTGTCAGTGCTACCTGTGTAGATTTCATTGTTGGGGAATGTTCCAGACACTCACTAGAACTGAAGAAGTGGCTTGGATAAGCTATTATTATTATTATACAGGATTTATATAACACCAACAGTTTGCTCAGCGCTTTACAAAATGAAGGTAGACATTACAGTTACAATACAATTTGGTACACGAGGAAAACAGAGGACCCTGCTCGTTAGAGCTTACAATCTATGAAACATCTCCAAGATTACAGAAGTCCAGATCAATGTGCTACTATCTATACCATGGCCTGAATATATGAAAATGATCACAGACATCTATAACACTCTTTTTGCATTGGTTGTGCCAGAAAACTCCCTTTAAAGAGAACCGGTGATAGAATAATAGAAATACTGGCGATTCTTCATACCTATATCTGATTGGAGAGGGATATAGATGAGGCTGCATGAGGTGTGTTTGAGAGCTCCTTACCTGCATTATAAACAAATCACCAAAGAGGTTCCCAGAATTATGACAAAAGGCAGGTGGGTAGACCATTGCAAAACAGTGAAGCTGGTAGACTGTGCTTCCTGCAAGCTTTGTAAAGAAGAATTCAATTCGTCAATTTAACCGTTTCCTAAAACACTTGCATTCAAGGCATGTTGTGAATAATAGCTGTTATAGTTGCTTGTGTTGTCAACTGAACTGCCAAGAATTCAAATGGCTGGTGTCATAACTGATCACATGTGCCGCACCATGGCAACTGCAGCTTAAACAGAGGCTAAAATGCAGCTGAATAGGAGGGTTTAGTTCCACTTTAAAGTGTATGTAAAGTCAATATTTGTTTTAATTGTGGATGGAGTGGAGAAGGGTTAGCATCTCTGTCAGAGATTTTATAGCTTTTTGTGTTACTGCTGGAGAGATTTAACCTCTCCATTGGTCCTGGCAACCATTATCTCCTGTATGAAAAGTGATGGCAAAACCAAAAATGTTTGAGTTGACACAGGAGTGAGAATATAGAAGAAATCTTCCAATGGTGACGCCTGTTCTGTAGATAACTGTATACAAAGGGATATCTCTTGCTTTGAAAAGATCTCTTCTTACTTTCAATTGTGCCTGTGGGACAGGGAGTGAAGATTAACCTCCCCAGCGGGACACAGACCTGAACAATGAAAAACGGGCCTTAACCTTTTCCCATTATATCCACAACTAACAAAAAGGTTGGGCTATACATATACTTTTAGAAAAATGTAGCAGAAACTTCCCCATAATGAAGAAGAAAAGTATTGCATGAACACGTGAAGGAAATGCTATGCTGAACAATATGATCATTTCATAGAACAGTGTCCGTGCGGTTGAATCATGTCTTTCTGCAACAATTCCATGTACTATGAATCATACCAATTCACTAGCCCAGCATGAGATCTGCACCTTCCATACATCATTTCCTGGAAAGAGATAAAAATAT